GTGGTAGAGTGCTAGCCTTGAGCTGAAGAGCTGAGGGACAGCGCCCAGGCCCAGAGTTCAGGCCCCACGACCGGACCCAAAAAAAAAAAAGAGATGAAAACACCCCCTTATCCCAAATGGTAGAAATAAATATATTTGGTAGTTATACATTTAAAAAAAAAAGCCGGATGCCAGTGGCTCACGCCTGTCATCCTAGCTCTTCAGGAGGCTGAGATCTGAGGTTCATGGTTCAAAGCCAGCCTGGACAGGAAAGTCCATGAGACTCTTACCTCGAATGAACCACCAGAAAACCAGAAGTGGCGCTGTAGCTCAAGTGGTAGAGTGCTCGCCTTGAGCTGAAGAGCTGAGAGACAGCGCCCAGGCCCAGAGTTCAAGCCCCACAACCTACCAAAAAAAAAAGTCTCAATGCAGCCAGGCTCCAGTTGGCACGCCTGTCATCCTAGCTATTCAGGATCTGAGGATCTCGGTTCAAAGTCAGCCTAGGCAGAGCCAGGCGGCGGTGGCTCACGCCTGTCAGGAGGCTGAGATCTGAGGATCACAGTTCAAAGTCAGCCCCGGCAGGAAAGTCTGTGAAACTCTTATCTCCAATAAACCACCAGAAAACCGGAAGTGGCGCTGTGGCTCAGGTAGTAGAACGTTCACCTTGAGTTGAGGGACAGTGCTCAAGCCAGCCCAGAGTTCAAGCCCTACAACCGACCAAGAAAAAAAAAGTCTCAATGTACTTTCCTACCCCAGCTGGCTTTGAACTGTAATCCTCAGATTTTAGCCTCTTGTAGGTGGACTCTGTGCACAGGTGTCTGGGGCCCTTTATAATTATGACCTGACCTGGCAAGAACCTTGTGAGACTCAGAAGATCCAGTTGAGGATACACAGTAACAATTACAGAAACAGAAACAAGCATGAGTCACTGGTGCCTGGCTCAAAGATTTTTTTTTTTTTTTGTCGGTCCTGGGGCTTGAACTCTGGGCCTGGGCGCTGTCCCTCAGCTCTTCAGTTCAAGGCGAGCGCTCTACCACTTGAGCTACAGCACCACTTCCGGTTTTCTAGTGTTTTTATTGGAGATAGGAATCTCATGGTCTTTCCTGCCCGGGCTGGCTTTGAACTGCGATCCTCAGATCTCAACCTCCTGAGTAGCTAGGATTACAGGCGTGAGCCACCAGCGCCCGGCTCAAGGATGTTTTACTACAGTTTTGTGTGTGTGTTGGTACTGGGGTTTTTTAACTCAGGGCCTCACACTTGAGTCTCCTTGGTTACTCAGTCTGACTTTTGTTGATGAAGTACTAACAGGGTTTTGGGGATTTTTCTGCCCTGGCTAACTTCAAACAATGATCCTCCAGCTCCCAGCCTCCTGAGTAGCTAGGATTACAGTCAATTGGGTACTGTGCCTGACTTAAATGCATTTTTTTTTCCTGCTGGTCCTGGGGCCTGAACTCAGGGCCTGGATGTTGTACCTGAGCTTTCTTTGCTCAAAGGCTAGTGCTCTACCACTTGAGCTGCAGCCTCACTTCCAGTTTTTGGGTGGTTAATTGGAGATAAGAAACTCATAGGGACTTTTCTGTCAGGGTTATCTTTGAGCTACAATCCTCAGATTTCAGCCTCACTCCAGCTCCTGGCTGCAATGAATTTTTGACTTTAAGATTTTGGATTTACAGTGAGCTTACAGGAGATGACCCCATAGTAAATGGAGAAATATTAACCCACACTGCAGATACTGTGTGTGATCCTGCCTCAAACACGGTTCATGAAAGTCTTCCCCGATACTCAGGAGGCCTTAGGTAGGAGGACTGAGATCTGAGGACAATCTTGGGTAAAAAAGTTACGTCTAACTGGGCTCTGGTAGCTGACAGCTGTAATGCTAACCACTCTGAAGGCTGAGATCTGAGGATGGAGATTCAAGACCAGCCTGGGTAGATAAGCCCGAGGAGACTCTGATCTCCGATGAACCATCAAAAAGCTGCAAGTGGAACTATTGTTCAAGTGGTAGAGCCCCACCCTTCTGTAAAAAAGGGACAGTGCCTTGTCCCTGAGCTCAAGGCACAGACAGACAAACACACAGACACATACAGACAGACAGACAGACACACACACACACGATGTCTTCATTGGCCCTAAGGGGTCTCTTTTCCCCTGATCTTTCTTCTCCCCCCCCCCATCAAGCGTCTGTGAACACCCCCAAGTGCTGTTTTCTGGGCTGAAACAGAAAAAACATCCCCTAAGTAAACACCCAGCGCCCCCAGGCCGGCGGGTGGGCGTGGCCTGGGCAGGGGCGGGGGCGGCCTCCAGGAGTAAACAGTAGGGCTGGTCAGTTTCTTGTCCATTTCACCTCCGGCTCTCCAGCGCTTTCCCCGGTGGCTGCAGGGAGGAAGAGGGCTTACCTGAAGAGGTGTGTCTTTCTCCCCAAGACTGGAGCGGGAGGAAGTCCAGCCCCGGCCAAACAACAAGACTCCTAGAACAAAACAATTAATTAAGGGTGAGGTGGGGGTGTGTGGAGAGGCAAATAATGGAAAAAGAAAGAAGACAGACTGACCACAGAATCTGGGCGTCTGCCAATCACAGGTGCAATTGTTAAGGGGGGAGCGGGGTTGCCATGAACCTTGAAGGTCTTGTCTATCCTTGGGTCTCAGACACAGTGACCAGCACTGAGCCACTGGGGCCAGGCTCTGCTGTACACTGCATGTGTCCCTTCCTCCTCCAACCGAAGGCCACCTTGGCTTCCTATTGAGCTCTTGGCCCAGAGAGATCCTCCCCTCCATCATGGTCTTCTACAACAGAAAGCAGCCTCTGCTTCTTGTAGACCTCCACTCTGTGGGCCTCTATTCCTTCAGTCTCTTATCTTCTTGAGGAGGTCCACTGATGGAAGGCTGTGGGAAACTGAGGCACCCTGGAAGTGGATAACCCCTACCTTTCCCATTGGCCTTTACCTTCCTAGTCCCTTCTAAGCTTGTCTGCTTTCTCTTGAGCCAGTGGAGTCCCAGGGTCAGTGGGAGGGTATCTGAGACACTATCTAGAAACTTCCCTGAAGCCTCCCAGGCCAACCATATGGATTTGTCAGCCCTTCTCCCTACCTCTCTAACCTTCCCTTTCGTTTGTCTGCATGATGGGACTTTTCTAATGGCTTATTTCCCACCCTCCTACCTCCAGTGTTCCTTCTGGAACACAGGACCTTTGCACATGCTAGGTGACTACTCAGCCTACATGGTCTTAATGATCATGGTTCATGAGAATGCCCCAGGGACTAGGCTCTACGGTTGGGGGCTTTGTCACCACAAGCACAGTCCCTGAGGCTGGGGTACATATTGATGTCATCTTCAAGTAACAGTTGAGGAGACTGAGGCTGGGAGAGGTTAAGTCCCCAGGTCACAGCTACTTGCTCAAGCAGGTAGTTAGGTCAGGTTTGAACTCCAGTCTGAGTGGATTTATAGCCCACTCACTGCCAAGGTCCTCTGCCCCTTGTAACAATTCCCTGGAGGGCTGTGGGCGTTTCCATTCCAACTCTGCCATGGCTGTGTGACCCTGAGGACATTCCTAACCTCTCTGAGCTGCCTGTCTTTCTCAAGTGGATAGAAGTGACCATTGGGTACAGATGATGTTTATCAAGTGCTGGGAACCACAGTACTTGTACCAGTCGGGCTCTTTGGTCTGGGATTGAGGCTGTTTAACTCAGTGGTTGATTTAAAAAAAAAAAAAAAACTTGGGCTGGGAAGGTGGCTCAGTGGTAGAGCACTTGCCTTGCATGCATGAGGCCCTGGGTTCGATTCCTCAGCACCACATAAGCAAAAAGAAAAAAACGGAATTGGTGCTGTGGCTCAAGTGGTAGAGCGCTAGCCTTGAGCTGAAGAGCTGAGGGACAGCGCCCAGGCCCAGAGTTCAGGCCCCACGACTGGACCTCAAAAAAAAAAAAAAAAACTTAAGGAGCTGAGTGCTAGTGGCTCACGCCTGTCATCCTCACTACTTAGGAGACTAAGATCTGAGGATCACAGTTCAAAGCCAGCCCTTGGCAGAAAAATCTATGAAATGCTGTATCGCCAATGAACCACCAGAAAACTGGAAGGCGCTCAGGGACAGAGCCTAGGCCTTGAGTTCAAGCCCTACAATGGACCAAAACCAAAACAATACAAACAAACATAAAACAAGGGCTCCATCACACACACACACACACACACATTTTTTTTAAGAACCTCTTTTTTTTTTTTTCCATCATGGGTCTTGAACTCTGGGCCTGGGTGTTGTCCCTCAGCTTCTCAGCTCAAGGAGAGTGCTCTACTACTTGAGCTACTGCGACACTCCTGGTTTTCCATGTGGTTTATTGGAGATAAAGAATCTCACAGACTTTCCTGTCCAGGCTAGCTTTGAACTGCAATCCTCAGATCTCAGCCTCCTGAGTAGCTAGGATTACAGGCGTGAGCCATCGACCTTAGGAAAGTTTAAGGAGGGCTTGCTTTGGTCCTACAGAACCCATTTCTGCCACTTGCCAGCTGTGTGCCACTGGGCAGGTCTCTGTTTCTGAAGCTGCTGCTCATCTCTAAAATGGGAACAGATCTGTTTCCCCCGTGTTACATTGTGGTGAGGAATCGATCAGATCCGGCAGGTAACTGGCTCAGGAGTGTAGACAGAGCAGTCCCTGCGGTCTTGGAGAAAGGGAGAGTAAGGAGAACATGAGGGGCAGAATTACCGGCTTGGGTCTAAGTTGAGCAGAGGGGAAACTGAGGCGTAGAGAGTAGAGGGCTGGAAGGCCCTCCTCCCTCCTCCTCTCTGTGGGAGATTAGAATCCCGTGAGGTTTCTGGTCTGGGAGTGGGCACTTTAAATCCTAAGCTCCACCTTTTACTTAGAAGGGTCTTTGGAGTATAAAAGGGATGCAGCCCCCCTCTGCTCCACAGAAACACCTGCTGCTCCTGCGCTCCAGCCCCTGTCTCTTCCTCCCACCAGGCCCATCGCCAGCCTCTTCATGGATCTTCCGGCCTTCGACATGTGGAAGGATTACCTCAACCTCAGCCAGGTTGTCCTGGAACTGGTTCAACAGCATCGGAGCTCCAAGCTGGAGGTCCAGGAGGAGGAGGAGGCCAAGGAGTCAAGACCCCAGCTGCGGCCCAAGCAAGATCAGGGGCCAGGGGCCTGTGCAGAGTTGCCCACTCTGTGTAACTTTTGCAAACACAACGGAGAATCGCGCCATGTCTACACGTCCCACCAGCTGAAGACCCGGGAGGGCACCGTGGTGTGCCCCATCCTGAGGCACTACGTGTGTCCCCTGTGCGGGGCCACTGGGGGCCAGGCGCACACGCTCAAGTACTGTCCCCTAAACGGCAATGAGCAGTCACTCTATCGGCGAAGTGGACGCAACTCAGCGGGCCGCAAAGTCAAACGCTGAGGGTTGGGCTAGTTGCCTACCACCACCCCTTCATTCCCCCCCACACCCCGATCTTCCTTGTTCTAAGTTCCAAACCCCTCTCTTCTGCCATCTGTCACCTTACCCTGGATCTCCAGCCCCCCGCCTCCATCTTGACTGGGTACTGGAATGCTGGAGGCTGCAGACAGCCAGGCCAGTCTGTCCATTACCCTGTGGATCATGTACAACCCCCCCCTCCGGGGATTCCCTCTGGCCTCATGCTTCATGGATCTTCAGCCTTTTGGGGGACCCCACTGCTGGTGACACTTCATACTACTCCTGAGCATCCATGGCTTAGGGAGTGGTGGCGATCATTGATTCCTAAGCCAGATGGGACGACCCCTTCCCCTCCCACCCAGGAATTTGGACACGATGATGACCCTCATCCCTTGCCTCTTTGAACTTGCAAGATGACAGCCTGGTTTGAAGTCTTCCGCCATCTTCACGATCACCTGTGGACCTTCATTTCTCCCCTGCCCCTGGCGCGTGGCCATCTGTCAGGAACTGGGAAGGAGGACAAAAGGGACCTTGAAGAAGGGTGGCATGGCTTCGCAGAGCACCTCTGGGTGAGCTGACCTCCCCCCTCCCCCTGTTCCCTCCTTGTTAGTTGTTCTGTACATTTTCATTGCCATTTCACTCCTCTCCAAAATCCAAGCCACCCAGGGGGCCTTCTCCCCGGGGGTGAGGGGCGCTGCGTCTCTGCATCGCGACCAGCTCTTCAATCGTGGTAGCTTGTACTTAAACCAGCCAAGTTTCAACTGGCAAGGTTCACTCGGTGCAGCTGCTTAGGTTTTATGTGAGGGGCAAAGAAGAGCCTCAAGTCTTGATTTTTGTTTTGTTTGGTGCTCAGGGCTGAGCCGGCCAAAAATAAAGAGCCTTTTGAGTTGTCCTTTGAGGCCTGTCTGTTTGTCTATCCTTACCTGGTCCAGCCCTTGGAAGCTGGCTGAGGATACAGGGATTGCCGTAAGAGTTCCTAAGTCCTAGGAAGTGGGAGGCCAGGCAGGATGAGGTCTGTGTTACCTGTGGACTGGATCTGATGTTCATTGGTCTCCTGTCTGGGGTTCTACTCTGAGAGACAGCTTCCTCCATTATTTATTTTGTTGGTCTTGAGGCTTGAATTCATGGCCTGGGCACTGTCCCTTAGCTTTCTGCTCCAGGCTAGCACTCTACCACTTTGAGCCATAGCTCTACTTCTGGCTTCTTTTTTTTTTTCTGTTGGTCCTGGGACTTGAACTCTGGGCCTGAGCACTGTTCCTCAGCTCTTCAGCTCAAGGCGAGCGCTCTACCACTTGAGCTATAGCGCCACTTCCAGTTTTCTGGTGGTTTATTTAAGAGTCTCATGGACTTTCCTGCTCGGGCTGGCTTTGAACCGTGATCCTCAGATCTCAGCCTCCTGCGTAGCTAGGATGACAGGAGACAGGAGCCACAAGTTCTAGGCTGCTCTTTTGTTTGAGACAAGGTCTCTACATATGGGGCTGGGAAGGTGGCTCAGAGGTACAGTGCTTGACTAGCATGCATGAGGCCCTAGGTTGGATTCCTCAGCACCACATATACAGAAAAAGCCAGAAGAGGGCACAATGGCTCAAGTGGTAGAGCGCTAGCCTTGAGCTGAAGAGCTGAGGGGCAGCACCCAGACCCAGAGTTCAAGCTCCAGGGGAAAAAAAAGATCTACCTATGTAGTCATGCTGGCTGGAACGCTGTTTGTAGCTCAGGCTAGCCTCAAGCAGTCAATCCTCCTGCCTTAGCCTCCCAAGTGCTGAGACTATAGGTGTGAACTTCCACATCAGCTTAAGACCTCTTATCTAGGGATGGAGGTGTAACTCAGGAGGTATAATTCATGCTTGTCCAGCTAGCATGAGGCCCTGGGTTCAATCTCTAATACTGAAAGAGGTGAAATACCTCTTTGCTGGTGGCTCATGAGTATAATCCTAGCTACCATCATGACTGAGAGCTGAGAATCGCAGTTTGAAGCCAGCTGGAGTGGGAAAATCTATGATACTCTTATCTCTAATTAACCACCAAAAAGCCCGAAATGGAGGGGGGGAAAAAAGCTCAAGGAC